CTAAGACATAGTCTTTTAGAATAAGTGTTTTTCTTCGGCTTTTGGCCACATTCAGAAACATGCTGGTCAACAACTCTGGAATATTTAGTTTCTAGACCTCAGTGTTGGTATTTCTTTTTTTTTTTAACTTTTATTTGAGGAGATCTCTCAAAAATAATCTTTCACAGTCATGAAGTAAACAGCTGATCCTCACTCCAGTGCCCACATTGCATTGCCCTGTAAAAGGGAAGACTGTCCAGGGCTTTGGCTACTATCTTCATTTTACTGGTGTCAGGCCTGTTACGGTCATTTAGAAGTACTTTTAGGAGGGGATTCAAGGAATCTGGTAATGTATCTGTACTGCTGTGACAGAGTGTAGAGAAAGTCTTGACCAGAGAGTCACCTCAATTACCACCCATAATCCTTAGTTATCCATTCTACTTCCTCTACATATCAGAATGCTGAACATATGTAAGGATAAATCACACTTTATATATAAAGTTTGATATTTGCTATAAACTATGGCCTAAATTTCAAATCTCACTGTTGCACAAAATAAATCCTTGATTCAGTTCTGTTACCTGAAGGCAAATTTCTGTTGGAAGAAATGTCTTCCTGAATGAAACAGGTTTTCACTACATTTGACAAGTGTGGTACATTTCTAAATTTATTTGTGAGTTGGATATGTCTCTTCTACTGTTCAAGGGAGAGTAGAGTGCTTCTGTGTCCGTAGATTAACATTTGTAATCTTATAAAATCTCCTGTTTTGAATCTTCCCACTCTAATAGTAGCCTAGATTCAGAGATGCTGTTACAAGAAAAGACTCACCAAGAGCTGATAAGTAATTGGATAAGCGGAATTACTTCACACGTGGTGAGTGCCACGTGTCAGGGCACTCACCTGACACGTGGGTGAAGGAAATGATAAAAGGGAACAGAGAGGACACAGCCACATGTCCTGCTGTCGCTAACCGGAGCTGAGAAATGGCCACCTCCCCTTTGTCTCTCAGACAGTGCTGTCACTTTCCAGCTCATCTCATATCTGGCTCGTGAAGAATTGTTAGCTTTAACTAAATTCCTGTTTCCTTTCTCGGAGGGATGGACTTGTGGCAATTGCAACCACATGCTAACTGTGGAAACTATAAGCCTTTCCAACTATATAAGCATGTTTTTTGTTCATGTGGATATATACATCAATTTGCCATTTCCAACCAGTGGATGGGAGAAAATGTGAATAGAAAGAAAGAAAGAAAGAAAGAAAGAAAGAAAGAAAGAAAGAAAGAAAGAAAGAAAGAAAGAAAAAAAGAAAGAAAGAAAGAAACCACTTTCTGCAAAAATTAACAGTTAAGCTCCAGGCTGTTCTTCTAACCTCAAAATGGACTTGAGCGCCTGATTGTGAGCCACACTATGGGAGAACCAGACCAACTATGTGGAAAGCTAGGATCACTCCTGATGTTAAGGTCATTGAAAGTTTAGGAGAGTTAGAAAAAAAAAGGTCTAGCCCATAGTTTGGCTAGTAATATAGTCTAGTCCTTCTCTATAATTAAATCTTTGTTATTTGTTTTGCAAACATACAAAAAAACAGGATGAGTCTGTTTTTGTGGTATTCCTTTGATGAGTTTCTAAGGGAATATTTTGAGGCTTGAGGTTTTGTTCCCATCCTTGGATAATGTGGAGGATGAAGTGGAACACTGAGTACTTATAATTATGGATTGTGCGGTTGTTTGAAACTAGGAATGATATTTTTTTTTTGGCCCAAAGGTTGGGTTTTAGGAGGCCATAGCGATGACCTTAGCACTAGGAAAAAGGGTCACACCCAGGGAGTACCACTTAAGGACCATACTTTGTTGAGGATTCTGTCCTGTACTTAGAATCATAAACAGAGATCAGCAGTTCTTACAGAGTTCTGATTCCAGCTTTGCTTGCGTTGTATTTAAGAGCCAGGAGAGGGGTGGATATGGAACCATCAAGGAAACTTTGGCTTCACTAGAGAGGAAGCGTGGTAAACTAGACTTAAAGGAATCATCTAACTTCTGTGCACCTTAATCATCAGAGTGAGAGAGCTTCAGTAAACATGATACTCATGCTTAGGATTTTGATAAAATGAAATGAGTTAACACAGAAAGTATTACCTCTCATTTATAGACACTCTTACAAATTTTCATTGTGGCTTTTTAATGAAAAATACAGTACATAATTAGAACTTCATCTGTTATATGTAGTATGGTTTTTTCACTAACTTATTTTAAGACAAGTTCTAGTTGATTAAAAAAATTTTAGAACTTTAAGACCAACTATTTGATTTTAGCAGATGTTCAAATAAGACTTTGCCTATCTTTGAATTATCCACAAAGATTTCCTTGCCTCCTGTCCTACCCATACTAGAAGCAACTGAGTTGAAAGTCTGTTAGCATTAAAACGATTTTCTTTGAAGTTATTGTGAGGAGTAGCAGTCTAGGCCAGGATGTAAAGCCCATTATCATCTTAGTCAAGTTGATACCATCTGGGTTGAAGGGTCTATTAATTGGCTTGAGAAATTAATTATATTTATAATAAGGTGTTCTTATTTATGAATTATGTGGATATGTAGCATATGAATTTTGTAGAGTTAATGAAATATGAAAACCCATCGATCAACTTCATTTGAATGACACTACTCAATGTGTTTCCACGTTTCAAAACTCTGCAGAGACCTAGGCAGAACTCTAGGTGAGGAAGGTGCTGATGGGAGACAGAGGTAGACAATAAGGGGAGATTTTGAACAGAAAACAACACACAAGCAGTTGGCTCTAAGGAAAGAAAAGATCACTGAGCCCACTCACAGATGTAAGGAGGATAATATCAAATTATTTCAGTGACCTCAACTTAATTTCTAATTGGAAGCTGCATGGTCAGAGTGGATCAGCTAAATATGTCAGATTGAAATGGAAATCACCTTCCCAATCAGCTAGCCTCTAGGCTACTCTTTGTCCCTCTTCTCCATGACTTTACCTTTAAGAGACTACAACAAGAGGGACCTAAGGACATAGAAGCAAAGCTCACTTCATCACCAATACCAAGAAAGGGAAAAAAAAACAAATGAGTTTGGCAATTAGAGCTTCACTCATTTATGATCTCTGCCTTTCTAACATGGATACAGGAAAGGTGATTTTTCAAAGCACTTTTCAGCTAGCTAGCTTCCTTCCTTCCTTCCTTCCTTCCTTCCTTCCTTCTGTCCTTCCTTCCTTCCTTCTGTCCTTTCTCTTCCTTTTAAGTGTAAAAGATGTTAGCATCCTTCACCGAGTCTAGGCATTTATTCTTTCCTGAGTTTACTGCTCTCAGCATTCTGACAAGCTCCAAAAATAATGACCTGTGCCGTGTGTTGTTAAATGTTCAGTCAGACAGATAGATACAGATGGATGAGTGCTAAGCTGCACAAAGGCAAGTCAGCATTATTTAATCAATGTTTGTTTGATCCGTGTAAAACAAGTATAAATGTAAGCTGCGTCCCATCTGTCCTATCATCCATGTGAAGCCAGCCTCGTTTTTAAAACTTGATTTCTTATGTAATTGTCCCAGAATGACACCGGATGATAGGTTGGGAGGGGAAGAATGGCCATGCCTAGATGTCTCCTGGTTTGGGCTCCTTCATTTTGCAGTGGCATTCTGGACACTTAGGCAGCCTTGTGCCATACTAACTACCAACTGGTAGTTAGCATGAGCTTTTGATTTCCTGGTTTAGGTTTGAATGTAAATGTCTCAGTTGCTCACACAGTTTTAACTAGGTTACTGAGCAGCAGCTAGCACATGGCCTGTCAGTGAGGGTCTTTAGCAGTCAGATTTATTGTCAGTCTTTACTTCTCTTTTGTCATGGGCCAAACTAGGGGGTAAGGAGAGAGAGAGAGAGAGAGAGAGAGAGAGAGAGAGAGAGAGAGAGAGAGAGAGAGAGAGACAGAGAGAGAGAGACAGAGAGAGAGAGACAGACAGAGACAGAGGGGGAGGGAAAGAGAGAGGGAGAGAATGAGAGGGGGAGGGAGGGAGAGAGAGAGAGAGAGAGAGAGAGAGAGAGAGAGAGAGAAGAGAGAGAACGCTGTCTCCTAATAGTTAAGAAAATTAAGTTATATTGGTTATACAGCATAATGACCTGGTATCCATTACAATTCTCCAGTTAGCTCCAGGTTTTCTACTCAGAGAATATAGTTTCCTATTGCCATGTATCTTGTTCTTCCATTATCAGTTTTTTTTAACTTTTTAGATAAGCAATTAAACCTGAATGTAATTTTGAGATCATAGTTGAGCTACATACAAAATTCACTTTATATGCACACAGTACATACAATAGATTGCTTTTGCTTGAACTAAGACATTACACAACTATGTTAAAATTTAAAATATAAGAAAAAAATTCTGAGTGATAAAAGAAGGAAAAGGGGGTAAACACAATGATACATGGAAACAATATGAAAAAGAGAAAAGCAATTCAGTCCTTCTGTAAGGTTACAGGTTATTTTTGTCACTATGATGATGTTCACTGGCTTGTCTTCCTCACCATCATTGTTTGGATTGCACAGTTGCCCTGACATTGGCTGTAGTATGTTAGAGGGAGACAGATAAAATCAGAAGTGTTCTTTAAGACGGGAGTACATAGGTAGAGAATCAAAAGCAGAGCATGCGCACAGCAAGCTGGGGAAAAGGCCAGTCAGCTGAAAGTGTGCACACATGTCCAGTCAGGAAAGACGAAGGAGTGAGTACTCGAGGCAAATTATGTTCACAGCACCGGAAGGTATGTTCACAGCATCGGAAGGAATATTGACCTAAAATAACTCCAGCAACAGAGAAAAAAAATGGAAAAGTAAGATAGTGCCCTGCTGCTCTAATATTAACAGAACTTCTGTATTGATGCTTTTCATTTGCATCACTGTTTGTGATTGTTAATGAATCTCATGATTTCTTTTAAAATCATGGTTATCCCTGTGATAAATGCCTTGATACTGTTTTCCAGTACTGACTTTATGTATACTGGTTTGTTTGGTTTTCTTATAGTCAATTGACCCTGGCCAGCAGTTCACTTGGGAACACTCAAACTTGGAAGTAAACAAACCAAAGAACAGATATGCAAATGTCATTGCATACGATCACTCTCGGGTTCTCTTATCAGCAATAGAAGGTAAGAAAATGCATATATGATTCAAATTGTCATTTTCTCCATTTATATATTTGCATGAGAATGTAGTATTGACTGGACAGCCATCTATGAAAACATTTACCTACAACTCAGGCCCAGTGTATTGGATCTCTACTTTCTTACATAAATGAATCACTCACGGGAACAGTTGTCACTGCTACAATCACAGAAGCATTCCTTCATGAAGCCTTGCTCATTTACAGCTGTTTTTATGTGGGTAGCAATGCCCAGCTTACATGATTCTTGATAGTTATGTGCAAACTGGTGATTTTCCAAAGGGGCCTGTACATTAGTTACATATTTAAAAAGGAAGGAGGTGTCTGTAAATAAATCTGGATATGCTTACTGGGACGGGGTCAACTTAGGAGTCAATATTGTCGTGATTAACAGAAACAAAGCACCTTGGAAATGTGCAGGCTATCGAATCCGTGAACTGCTTTTTAATCTTCCTCTCACAGTCTGGAGTGCATTCCAGAGGGGATGATGGATGGAGAAGGTTGAAGAAGGTTGCTTCTTAGCAGTCCCAGGAGGGTAGTGTCTGCTTCCCTCCTTCCAATAATCAATCCCTGCATGTACCATACTAAAAACATTTGGGAGTTCATTCCTGACAATCAGAATTTCAGTAGTCCTTTAGTCTATAGAAGAACACTAAACTGAAAGGTCTTAGAAATTTTTTTCCATGCTACCTAGTCCTTTCACATGTCATGACAGGCAACATCAGCCACCACCTGCCTGTCACATAAAACATCTGTTAGCAGTGGCACTCAAAGGTTCTCTGTTTAATCTCTTGCAGTTGCTTTAGACATCATTGAATAGTACTTGCTTCTGATTAATCCTTTCAGGAATTTTCAGTACAAACAGTCACATCTATCTCCAGTGGTTCAAATCCTTTTTTTCCCCTTCTTTTTCTGCTTTAAAAAAAAACCATGGTAGTCACCATCTTATCTCATAGCTCTTAGCTTGAAAGTTCTCTTGGGGCCAGACAATTGGTTTAGCAGGCAAAGCCTTGTACCAAGGACCTAAGTTCAGTCCCAGGATTCACACAGTAGAAGGATGTGAGCTGATTTGTGACCTCCACATCAGCACTATGGAACATGCCGGCACAGGCACATACACACAAATAAGATATGAATTGAAATTGTTAATATACCCTTGGTGAACATAAAATGCAACAGTATATTAATTTCCAGACTTGGAAGTAAAATACATCTTTCCACCCTTTGACTAAGCTTACAAATGCAACCTGGTTTGACTCAAAATTGCCTTATGTAGTATTAATGAACAGTAAAATTCTATCACATTAGTTTTGATGTTGGAAATTATGGTAATGTGTTTTACTAGTGGCCAAATACAGTAATGTTCAAATGTCAACCTTCTTCCATCCTGAAAGCATTAATTAACTATCAAGTATCACCTATGCAAGCTGAGGCAGGATCAGACCACATTGCTGACTACTTCTTGCTGAGTCTTTTTGAGAAATTCAAGCTGAGGTTTGTGCATGGCTGAACGTAGGCTTCCCATTTTAGCTTTACAAGTTCATTTTAAATGGAAAAGAAGCAAATAGTAGTTTCTTATCTATAAAAATCATCATAGTAAATTAGGGGCAAGACTAAATCAGAAATAAGTCTTTCTTTAATTATTCAAGTAATATGGAAATATTATATGGAAGATAGATAGATAGATAGATAGATAGATAGATAGATAGATACATACATACATACATAGATACATAGATACATAGATACATAGATAGAACAGAACACTCTAGAGAGCCTCCTTTCAGATTTTTCTATCTTTAGTAGCATTTCCATGTATTTTTTCCCACATTGTCATAATTTTTCTTAACTTACTATTTTTCATATTTTAATAAGAAAGGGTGTTGAGATGGGGTGGGGTGGAACTGTTGTGCATTTATTATGACAGAAACGTCTGTCCATTTTATTCTTAGGCCATTTTTACAGTGTAGAAACAAAGGTATATGATTCAGACTAAAACCTGCCGTTTTATAACTCTGTGCCCACAGATACACCCTAAATCTAGATCTGACCTAGAAACCAAAATCTCTCAATGTTCTGTTATGCAAAAGGTTAGAAGAATTTAATGGAAATCTATGGGCTAGAGAGCTTAAATCTGGATTAAGACCATGAACAGCATCTTATCATAGACCAAGTCCTCCTAACCTGAAAGTACTCCAGGTGACAGTCTTAGCCTGGAGAATGCTGTGCACAGGGACTGCATAGTCAGCCACTGAGTGGCATGCAACTTGAACAGCCCTGGGTCAGATGAAAACAGGAACTGACATTAGTCCTGTTTTTAAAAGCTAATGTGTCCTACCTCTGTTTCCCAACTATAGTGATGGTGGGTAATGGTTTTTTTCAGGATAGCTTTGCAATCCATTTCCTTGTGGCTTCAGCTACTCTTTTCATACGACTTTGCAGAATATCTGACAGACATGAGAAAAGAGACAGAAATAAACATGGTGACTTACACTGTCTTTATCTTGTTTAATAGTGTAGTCATTTACCCTCCTTCCATTGATAAGATGAAGAGAATAAAAACTGAAATTCTGTGTCGCTCCAGCCTGCTTCCTAAGCTGCTTGGAAAGTTATATTCTTAATATTTTGAGATCATTCATTAACTTGTACTGAGAAAACCTAGAACAAATCCAGAGAGTCAAAATGCAAATGATTGTCAGTTGTTGCACAGGCAAAATTAGGTGGAGAAACACAGGTGAACTTTTGATAAGTCAAGTGTCACTTTGATAAATTCCACTTAAGAAATTCTTATGAAAAAAATTGTGGTTCCTGAAAAAGAGATGTAACAGCAGCTAGTTTAATGATTTAAGTTAGATATTCTCAAGTAAGACCCAATTGAAGCTCATTCTTCTGTGCACATCCACACAATATGAAATAATCTGTTAACTCTTATACAATGTGTGAAATGTTCCAAAGCTGTACTTTCGTTAACATAGAGAGAGCATATGATGGAGAACGTGAAACTAGACTTTGAAGCATTAGTTGTCCCTATACCTAGGTAACCGTGACTCCTCTGAGATCAGTTTTCTCAGTTACAGCCTCTCTCTTTCCTGCCTTCTGAGATCTAGATAGTTCTTCACAGCAGTTATTATGTTTACTCTACCTTACAGTTAATGAAGTGCTATTATCAATATGTTACTTGATATTTAGTAGTACACACTAGTTAGTAGAAACTGCAGTGTAGAGAGGGGGAAGCCCTGTGCCCTGGGGAGCCCAGCTCTACTTGTTCCTCCAGGAACCTCCCACGACCAACAGCACTTTCCTATGCAGAAAGCATGACTCCAAACACTAGTCTTAGCTTTTAGCCCCCAAATTCTTTTTATTAGTTGGCACTAGGCTTAGAGTTAATTTAACTATTGTATGTTGTAAGTGCATTTTCTAGATTATGCTCTAACTAACTAGAAACCATGGCTCAGCATCAGAAATCCTTATAGAACAAAATGCATCTGTCTGTCACAACCTTATTGAAGTACAACCATGTCCATCAATATCTTACTGATTCTGTGGGGGCAATCTCTCCTTAGATGTATATACAGCTTCAGATTGTTTATTTTTTATCTTTGTATTTTTTTTTATAAAATCAGTATATGGCAAGTGTTTATCACGGTCTTATAATTTGTAAGAATTAATCTTTATTGTCTTAGATAAAACAAATTTCTATCTGAAACATAATTCATCTTCACTAGCATCAGGGCTAAATTTTCATAGAATTATTATAATTATCATTTAAGAGTCATATTGAGAGAGACTTTTGTTTAAAGCTTCATCTAAGCCTAAATGTATGACAGTATTAAAATACTACTTTTTAGTACAATAACAAAAACAAGAAATAAAAGTAGGCCTGATTAGCTGCACATTTATTATATGGTAAGAGCTATGCCATTGATTTTAGCTTTATTATCTATACTGTTCATTTGAATTTACAGATAGTAAAATGGAAACATTAATAATGTAAATGTTGGGCTGGGGGCTGGCTCAGTGAATAACGTGCTTGTCACACAAACATGAAGATTTGAGTCTTAATCCCTAGAGCTGACGTAAAATCAGGCTTACCAGTTCATGTCTGTAATCTGAGTTCCCATGGCAAGACAGGAGGCAGAGACAGGAGATTCCCCAGGAATTCATGGTAGGCTGGCATATACAGTGTACTAGCATATAAGAACTCCTCTCCAAACAAGGAAGGTGAAGATTAAGACCTGTGGTTGTCCTCTGCCTCACACATGTACACAGGGACACATACATGTCTGCCCTTTCACACATATGCAAGCACATCATACTCACAGACAAAACAGCATACCATATACAAAATGTACACTTTTTATGAGGAGATGGCTCTTTTTATTGTTAAAAGTAAGATGTGACAAGGCCAAAATGCTAATGTCATGTCAGCCAAACTTGAAGCTGCCCTTACCCCAACATCCCGTGTGGTGTCACACTATTTTTCTGGTTGTGGTGGTTGTAACTGTTCACACAGGGTCTTATTTAAAAATCAGTTTGGTTTTGGCTGAAATGACCGTCGAGGAATTCTGAAACATTTACGAAGAAACCTGAGAGCTGGAGGTTTTCAGTTTTATTTTTTAAACTCCAGGCAAAATGAATTTTTTCAAACAACGAACAGCACATGGATGTGGGTTTAGTAATTTGCCTAATAATTCCTTTTAAGATAGATTGGGAAGAGCTCTGAATAAAAGCATGAGGTTGGAACCTAAGTCCCAGTTTACAAAGCTACATGATCATGTCATGGCACTTACCACATCAACAGGGAGGGTTTGGAAAAACAGGAGCTCTTGCTAATTAGGTGCACAACTTAAGTCCACCTAAAACAAAGAATACTCACTCTCTGTATTTCAACACTCATCTGTTCTTGGGAGTTCTTGGGCACTCAAGTCCTTGCAAATACATTCATCTACTTAGCAATCCTGACTTAATTGGTTGGGTTCTATTTCT